TTGGATTTTTTGTAGAGACAAGGTTTCACCATGTTGCTCAGGCTGGTCTCGAACTACTGGGCTCAAGCAAGTCTCTGGCCTTGGCCTCCCAAAGTGCTGGGATTACAGGCATGAGTCACTGTACCTGACCACGTATCACTTATTTATGTGACTATCAGGTTATAGGATAAATCTGTTAAAGGCCTTGCTCCAAGCCTCACTCCTGACACTGGGTGACTTTTTTTTTTTTTTGAGACAGAGTCTTGCTGTGTCACCTAGGTTGGAGTGCAGTGACACGATCTCAGCTTACTGCAACCTCCACCTCCCGGGTTCAAGCAATTTTCCGGCCTCAGCCTCCCGAGTAGCTGGGACTACAGGCACCCGCCACCATGCCTGGCTAATTTTTTGTATTTCAGTAGAGACAGGGTTTCACTGTGTTGTCCAGGCTGGTCTTGAACTCCAGAGCTCAGGCAATCCACCTGCCTCTGCCTCCCAAAGTGCCAGGATCAAAGGCGTGAGCCACCGCGCCAAGCCTGGGTGACTTTTTAAAAATAGAAGAAGAAGAGTCCTGATGCCAGGTGGGATCATAAAAATAAAATTCCACCGCAGTAAACACAGTGGCTCTCAATCAATCACCCACCACATCCATATGTGGTCATGGAGAGTTCTTTATGTGGTTATCTCAGGAAAATCGCAGGGCGAGGAAGACCCTACCCACCAAAGAGCACCCCTGATAGGGAGAGAAATCTTAATGTCCCACAAATTTAAGCCTTATAACCCTTGGTGACAAATATGTTAACTGTGTAAGGCAGCTCTTTAAGTGGGAGAGGCCATGCCCCCACAATGGAACAGTGAAGAAACAACCCAACCGTTATCACCTTATGCTGACAACTAGAGACCCCCAAATCGGACATGGCTCATTTCGGTAAGAACACAACAGATATCATGGAGTATAGACCTTTTATTTGCTCTGAGCTTCTATGGGTGAAAGCGAAGATGTTTCACTACAGGTAAAAGAAGGAAATATAGTAGTAGCAATGATGGTTCTGACTATCATAGCAGCTTTTTGGCATGTATTATAAATATTACACTAGGTGAGGAGGTGAGCAGTGGTTGTTACATCCCTTATATTGAGGGAAATGTCATCAAAGTTTATGTGAAATATGAGGCATTTAATACCTTATGCCAGAGAAAATTTCTGAGAGTACTGCTTTAGGAGGAAAATGCTTGAGATCTTTCCATATGATAGGCCCTGTTCTAAGCATTTTACCTGTCCAGGCATGGTGGCTCATGCCTATAATCCCAGCACTTTGGGAGGCCAAGGCAGGCAGATCACTTGAGTTCAGGAGTTCAAGACCAGCCTGGCCAACATGGTGAAACCCCATCTCTACCAAAAAACAAAACAAAACAAAACAAAACAAAAATTAGCCAGGTGTGGTGGTGGGCACCTGTAACCCAGCTACTCAGGAGTCTGAGATAGGAGAATTGCTTGAACCCAGGAGGCAGAGGTTGCAGTGAGCCGAGATCACACCACTGCACTCTGGCCTGGGCGACAGAGTGAGACTCTGACTCAAATAAAAAATAAGATAAAATAAGCACTTTACCTGATTTATTTCAGTTAATTCTTTTTTTTTTTTAATTTTTATATTTTTATTTTTCCATAAATTATTGGGATACAGGTAGTATTTGGTTACATAAGTAAGTTCTTTAGTTGTGATTTGTGAGATTTTGTTGCACCCATCACTGAAGCAGTACACACTGCACCATATTTGTTGTCTTTTATCTCTCATCCCCATCCCATTCTTCCCCCCAAGTCACCAGAGTCCACTGTATTATTCTTAGCCTTTGCATCCTCATAGCTTAGCTCCCATTGTGAGAGCATACGATGTTTGGTTTTCCAGTCCTGGGTTAATTCACTTAGAATAATGGTCTCCAATCTCATCCAGGTCACTGCAAATACTGTTAATTTATTTCTTTTTATGGCTGAGTAGTATTCCATCATATTTATGATGTTTGTGATATATGTGCGTGTGTGTGTGTGTGTGTGTGTGTGTATGTGTGTATATATATAGATCACAATTTCTTTATCCACTCATTGATTGATGGGCATTTGGGTTTGTTATTTCAGTTAATTCTTACTGAGATCCAATGAGTTGATACTTACATGTTTTATTTACATACAAATGAGAAGATGGAGGCATACAAAGTGTAAGTAACTCAGTTTACGGTGCAGCTGGAATTTGAGCTGTCTAGAATGTTCTATGAATCGTATAATTTGTTTATCTCACCATGTTTAAGAATAAGTATAATTTAAGATGCATAAAGAAAAAGCTAAAATACATACTACCTGCATAACAACTCTAAAGGCATCTAACTCTAAACAGGACAAAATGTAGAATTGCCCAAATGGACAAATTTTTAGTTATAAGTAGTCCATTTTCTTCTAACATTCATGAAAATTTTTGGAAGGCAAATTATATTACCAGTTGCAAGCAAAGTAATTTATAAAGAGTATTATACTGTAATTGAGTAATTTATAAAGAGATCTGATATTATTTAGAGAAAGATTTGGACAATTTTAGAAAAGAATTATATTTAGACAAAATAGCTAAATATACGTCAAAAAATGAATAGAACAAAATCATAAGATCTAACATCTGACATATTATTAATTTCTGACATATTAACATCTGACATATTATTAATGTAATTTTAGACGCTGCCCTGATGTGCCAAATTGGCCTAAAAAGAATTCCTAAGGGAGTATAAAAGGGCAAGTCTTATCAAAGTGGATTTAGACTTGAAAGGCATAATGAAAATCAGATTACAAATAGCTTCTTGTGAACTCATTTTAGAAAGAGAAATAAGTGTGAGATTGAATGATCCTGGTTTTTGCCTCTGCCAAATCAATCAGTTCACACCCCAATCTGATGGGACCTAGAAGTTTATTCTGGAACTGTACATTAAAGCCTGTAATACTCTGTCCCATGAATGGGAACATCCTGAAATTTGGCCTGTGGTCTATCTTTGGGCTGTCTAAAACAAATGTGCTCTTTGTAAATTAAAACTGAGCCTATCCACACAGAGTAGAATTATGACAAGACAGTATCATCATTTTGATTTTGGGGGGCGTCTTTGTAAAAAACTGCAGGGACAAAAGCCCCCTTCTTATCTGGTTATGACATAATTTGCATACATGTAGAAAATTAGGTGACAAAGTCTTTTCTTCTTTTTCACAGTTTCATTTTCCTTAATTGCTATACTCTCAAATATTAGGAAACCCCTTTTGAATAAACAATAGCTACTGCATGATTAACCTAACTCAGAACACTGTAATTCAGCTACTACCTTTCGGTGTATTTATTGAGTTTCCCCAGGATGCAGTACTCTGAACAAACCAAGGATTCCAAAAAAGATATCTGTTTCCATCAAGCACTAACATGGAATAAGAACAAACAGGTCGTGGCCACGTGCTCTCAGGTACACACATGAAATTGAAATTTCTGTAGTTATTTTTGATTGCTAGAACTTTAATCCTGTTCTTTATCATCTAACACACTTAAGTATGTCTAGAGATGAAGTTTAGAATTACCACAGAAGATACTGGCTACCAAGAATATTTTGTGTCTCTTAATATAGTTTTCATAGACTAATTCAGGAGCAGTGAAGATAAAAATAGTCATTATTAATTATAATAAACATTCTTCTGTGTGTCCATAAACAGCCTAAAAAGAATTTTTAAATAAAACAATTGCAATAATTTTAAACAAAAGTAACAAAAATGCTTCCTTGGGCTGGAAAAGCAATAGTAATAATTTCACAGCAATCTCCTCTCATGACCATATAAAATTTAAAAGAAGAGTGTATTTGTTTACAAAAGTATTGCAAAAACATCATTTTGTATTTATTCAAGTTTTTAGAGAGATCATTTATTTGCTTTTATGTCCAAGCATTTTTTTTTTTTTTTTGAGATGGAGTTTCGCTCTTGTTACCCAGGCTGGAGTGCAATGGCCCGATCTCGGCTCACCGCAGCCTCCGCCTCCTGGGTTCAGACAATTCTCCTGCCTCAGCCTCCTGAGTAGCTGGGATTACAGGCACACGCCACCATGCCCAGCTGAATTTTTGTATTTTTTAGTAGAGACGGGGTTTCACCATGTTGACCAGGATGGTCTCGATCTCTTGACCTCGTGATCCACCCGCCTCAGCCTCCCAAAGTGCTGGGATTACAGGCGTGAGCCACCGCGCCCGGCCTATGTCCAAGCATTTTTTAAAAGCAACTTCAGCCTGGGTAATTGACTTCAATATTCATGTTTGATTCAGGGATATTTTGAAATTGCTGTAAATAATTGTGTGTGTATACAGAGCCTCAAAAAAAAGTTTCAAAGCTGTGTCTCATGGCCAAAATAAAGTGAGTCGTTGAGAGCATAAAAGATTGTAAGTGCTTCATATTTTCCACTCTCCTGGATTCCCAGACCAGCTAGTGAGTCTAACTTCCACCTTTATCATTCCACAAACTCCCTGACCCCTGAACTCACTGTTTGAAAGGCCTGGAACAAGAGGGAATTTCTTTAGATTTGCTGGGTGAGAAGTAAGGATATAACTTGTTTTTCCAAAGCCTTTTTAAAGCGTTATATTTAGGGCGCTTCAGAGGAAAGAATTGGCCAGTCCTTTATTTATCTTCCTAACAGGTGCAGTCGGAGCAGTCATAAAAGCAGGCTACTGAAAAAGAAGGATTCTGCCAAGTATTAAGCCCCTCTAGCACGCGTTTGCCCTCCAGTATTCCCTCTTACAACACAGAGCTCAACTATATGCCGTGAATCTTCAGCATAGCATCACGGTTTTTTTCAGGAGGAAAAAAATATGAAGGCATTCATTCATACGACTTCTTTCCATCCAAATCTTCAACTTGGCCTCGATGAACCATTTGAAGTCAAAAGGGAAGCAATTGCCCTTGATAAAATATCCCCTTCCTCCTCCCCATTCCTTTCTCTTACTTTTCTGCATAAATTATTAACTTTTCCCCAATTTGAGTTAAGGGTGATATTTATATATAAGATGACTTTCCAAAGACAAATTTATTTTGGTGTTTGAAATAGGCCACTCACTCTCATGCAGGTAGAAACTGAAGGTCAAAGAATAAATATGAGAAGGAGGTTTCCCATCAAGGGAGCTCTTTTTCTGATGGATGACTAAGCCCTGACAAATGCTTAGAAATAGGCAAGAGGTGATGAACGCTGCTGTACATTCAGGTAGGTTTTGGGCCCAGCAGAACTTTAAAATGTCATGAAATCTCTAGAGACCCAAGGAAAAAAAGATATAGAAATGTGAAAAACCCTTATGGACCACCGCGCCCCCCCCACAAAAAAAGCTGTTATTTTTTTTTTAAACCGTGATCCCATCTATTCCTACTGAAACGTAGACCAAGATGAATATTGTATGCTGATACAGCAAAAGAATATCTGTAGCAACAAAGCCCTGCCTTTGATTCCTGAAGTTATCAGAATGGCACCTTAAAATTATGGTCATAATGGAACCTGTGTTTGGCCATACATTTGAGTTTTCAAGAAGAGATCTGACATGGAAAATGAGAAAATGACAGTGACTCTCCTGAGATTTTTTTTTTGAATGACACACAGGCACCAAAGAGGAACTTTTGCCTTTTTGGACAAGTAAAGCACATTAAATATAATAGAGTCTGATAAATCAAAAACAAAAAGTGAAATTCATGTTAAGGCCTCAACTCAGTGTTTTAGAGGAGAATTTTTCTGGATTTTATAGAATCTGACAGTAATAGGCCAGGCACAGTGGCTCACACCCGTAGTCTCAGCACTTTAGAAGGCAGAGGCAAGTGGATCTCTTGAGCCCAGGAGTTCGAGACCAGCCTGGGCAACATAGTGAGACCCCCCCATCTCTACTAAAAATATAAAAATTAGCTGGGCATAATGGCATGCATCTGTGGTCACGGCTACTGGGGAGGCTGAGGTGGGAGGATCACTTGAGCCTGGAAGGCAGAGTTGGCAGTGAGCCATGATTGCACCACTGCACTCCAGCCTGGGTGACAAAAAAAAAAAGAATCTGACAATTAACAGTTGTCCCAGGATGTAAAAGAACTAGGCTTTATGGTTTAGTCATTACATATTCCAGAGGTAAAATTCTGAGAAAAATTATATTTATGTGTTTAACAGCCATTCATGGTAGTTTTTTAATGAACAGATATTCTGCCACAGAAGAAAAGCTATTGCAATTGTCTAGTTTTATGTTGATAAAACTTATTTTTGACTGGAAAAGTGAAATTTCCAGTGAAAGGCAATTTCTTGGCCAGGCACAGTGGCTCATGCCTGTAATCCCAGCACTTTGGGAGGCCAAGGTGAGCAAATCATCTGAGGTCAGCAGTTTGAGACCAGCCTGGCCAACATGGCAAAACTCCATATCTACTAAAAATACAAAAAGTAGCCGGGGAAGGTGGTGGGCACCTGTAATCCCAGCTACTCAGGAGGCTGAGGCAAAAGAATCCCTTGAACCTGGGAGGCAGAGGTTGCAGTGAGTGGAGATTATGCCATTGTACCCCAGCCTGTGTCACAGAGTGAGATACTATCTTGAAAAAAAAAAAAAAAAAGGTGATTTCTGATTTCTTTACATGCTAGGAACCAGAGACAATTAACTGAAGGGCACTTACTTGTACTCAATAACTGTTACAAAAATGAACGTATTAAAGGCATCCTGGGAGATCCCCACAAATCTGAAGCTTCCTACAACATCCTCCCAATTTTATCAGAATAACTTAAGTGTGCTAGGCCTTAGGTTCTGCAAGAATCCAAAGTGGTATAAGGTACCTTTTTTTATCTGGAACTGACAGTACAAATAACATAGTTTCCAAAGAATGCATAATATATAAAAGTGGTTACTCCTTAAGAATAATACTTGCTTTCTCCAAAAGGGGTCACTGAAACACCCAGCATATTTCCAAGAGTCTAAACAAGAACTGTTGACTAATGACCTCCATTGAACTTTCTCCTCGAGATCCAAAGTTACATCTGTCCTTCCTACTTCTCCTTAGAAGAACCAGCTTTCCCAAGATTCAAGAAGAAAACTACTAAGATCCAAGAAGAAAATGATAGGCTGGGAGGTAGTTGAGTGAGACATTTTTTGTACCTTTAGGTGCTGAAAACTCAGCCTCTTTTGAGGAGTCGCTAGATCCTCCTGGATCCTGGGAGGGCCAAACCAGCCCATGTGTCCTATCAAGATTCACAGCAAGTGGTCTTGTCCTTCCTGGGCTTTCTGAGCTGTGGGAAGAGTTCAGATGACCCATATGGGCTGGAGGAGCCTGTTCTTTGGGAGGGTTTCTGCAGACAGTTTGAAATGACTCTGAAGAACTGGTTCAAGGCCATGTTTTGTTTTTTAGAGGGATGCTTATATGCAATCAAACTAATCCCAGTGAAAATGAAATCACAGTTAGGAGAAGAAGAAGGGACCAGAATAGTTCATGACTTGCCCTACTCCTTACTCTTCTGATGTAAACAATATGAAAATGCAATTATTTCACTAAGGAAAGCTCTTCAAGGTACAGTTCCTTTAATAATCAGTTCTGCTGGTGAGGGAACAAAAAAAATCTCTGTACTTCCTCAATGGATTTTAAATATATCAGTAACTCTTTTTGCCCCACTCCCTATCATCCAAATTTAAACTAACCAAAGAATTTGTGGGTATAAAATTACTGTCCTGGGTGGAGGAACTCCTCCACAGAATAGCGACGTGCTTTTATAGCAAAAGAAGATCACGGAGTCTTTAGTATCCTTGCTGATTTATTAAAAAAAAAATTTTGTATTGGGGGGTTGGGGGCCGAAGTTAAAGATATATTTTACTCTTTGCAGTTCTACAATTTCATTCCCGGTAAAAGCAAAGTGAATCAGACTGAGTTGTCAAATGAAAAGTAAACTTTATGGCCTCTAGCAATCAGAATAATTTAATTAGTTTTATTGGCTCTTAAAGCCTTTCACCTTATTTATTGGTTTTTCAGCTTTCTTCTCATTTTCAATTAGGCTTTAAAACAACAAATGCAAAATCATTCACTAAATTCAGGATAATTAAAACAATATTGTGTTTTCAGTTTGGAAACATGGTAGAATGCATTTCATCTGGGTACACTTCGGAGAGGTTAAAGTGACAGAGCAGATAAAAAGGACACTTAATACACGCGTAAATCATTTGCATTACAAATAAGATACTTCAGCAGACGTTGGACTCCCTGCCTGACAGTCAGGATTAAGTTCCCATATTAATGCATGCATTTGGTGTGGTTATTTTGGGTGGAAGACTTCATCCATCAATGCCCTCTGCCACTAAGTAAGGCCAACCTGTAAACTGATCACCACAGCCTGTCAACACTGGTTACTTAATTATATAAAGAAAATATATTTAAAAGACTTTTGATAATTTGGTTAGTATTTCAACTTTGCGTTCAACATGTAACATCTTTTTCAAGGTTCTTCAAAATAATGGTTAAAGCATTTTTAAGAATTAAAAAATGAAAACTATGACTATTTTTATGTTTCCTGCTTTCTTTTTCTTTTATTTGCAGAAGGAAAAAATAAAGATTCAGTAAGCACTAATGAAGACTAATATAAATGAAATAATATTTTTAAAAGATATTATTTAAAAACTCAGTGTACGCATACTATTAATTTGTACTTTTTATTATTTACTTTCATTATTACTAATTCCAATTTACTTCTGTTACCAATTAGTGGTTTTAATATACGAATTGTTTTTTATAGAAAGGAGAAACTTTGTTAGAGAAAACATTTCTTCTTCTAAGGAAGGATATGTTTATACTTTCAGCTTAACTATTCTTAAAAGGGCCACATATTATGAAATTCTCTATAATAAAACTCATGAAAGGCCAATCTTTTCATAATATTCAGAGATATCCCTTTTTACTAGGTGTTTGTTTTTTTTTCCATGCAAGAATTTAATAATGAACTTCCAAAGGCATTGATAAGAACAAGAAGAAGAAAAACCTTCACTGTATAGTTTAAATATCTTTGCATTAAAAAAATGTAGCAAATCTGGAAATAATGTCACAGATTCTTTTTTGGAATCCTGATCATTTGAGAAAATATTTTAAGTCTTCAACTCTCTGCAAATTGCAAATACATGCTGAAAAGATTTGTGATTAAACCAAGAAAATCTGATTGAAAATCTAATTTGTTTACTGTCAGCAATTAACATCCTTCAATTATGCTTTAAGGATTCTTTACAGTTGAATGATAGAATTATCAGTTGATAATTTTACTCAATATTCCTTTAGAAACCATCGTGTCCAATAGTTTCTAAATTCTGTTTAGAAACTATCAGAAACTTTTCAATTCATTATACTCTCTTTGTAATTTCCTCTGATCTGTTTACTCTAAAAGATCTTTTCCTTAAATCATAGTGATTTAATTATTTTCTCATCTATTTAAGAAATCGGTTATTTGTTTGAAGATAAATACCAAAATAAACACACTTTATTAAAGAGTACAACAAAAAGATTTCCGGATAAGTCTTACCCTCTTTCTTAGTGGGTTCTGGCATGGCCACAATAAGATGTTATTCTTTAAAGAGTTTTCTCCCCTCCACGACTAGTTGACAGAAACCCCACAGGCAGGCGAGAGACAGTGCAGGTCGATGTGACAAGCAGTTGGGGAGAAACCCAGTGCTTTTATACTGCCTCTGAACATCAATCATGATGGCACCTCCCTTTCTTCAGCACAAAGATGCAGGAACTTGACAGCTATGGGGACCTTTCTCACATCTGTTGTCTGCACTCTGCTCTCTCGCCTACTGGAAGGAATCTCCTGCCCATCTCATGTGGCTAATGAGAGCACCTCTAACTTTCTAAATTCAGCTGCAGCCTCGTGCTCTGTCTTGCTCTTCTCTGACAGATGCATGTGCTGACTCGGGAGTGCAAAAAGTTTGCTGGATGATAAAAAAATCAAATTGAAAGTCACAATATGCCAATCCAACCGATACCTTAATTTTCACTAAGATTAGACAGAAAAGTCTCTGTATTCAGGTAATCATTTTAATGCTCCAATTAGCTTTACATTTTCATCGGTCCTTAATTATTTCATTTATTTTTTTCTTATTTCTTAGTGATATGTCAGTATTAGTTTTTCAAGCTAAATCTCTACGTTAAATAACTTGTCTCGTGTTCTTCTCTAAGAATAGCAAAGATTTCTATTGAGGGATACTCTGCATTTGCCTTTTTTTTCCAAAAACATAATTTTTCAAAATTATAGGACATATAAAAGAATGAGGCAGTGATGCATGCTACAACATGGATGAAGCTCGAGAACATTACACTAAGTGAAAGAAATCAGTCACACATACAAACATAGACTATAAAATAATAGATCATGGCCAGGCACAGTGGCTCGCACCTGTAATCCCAGCACTTTGGAAGGCCAAGGCGGGCAGATCACCTGTGGTCAGGAGTTCAAGACCAGCCTGGCCAATGTGGTGAAACCTTGTCTCTACTAAAAAAAAAAAAAGGTACAAAAATGAGCTGAGCTTGGTGGCAGGTGCCTGTAATCCTAGCTACTCGGGAGGCTGAGGCAGGAGAATCACTTGAACCCGGGAGGCAGAGGTTTCATTGAGCTAAGATTGAGCCATTGCACTCCAGTCTGGGCAACAAGAGTGAAACTCCATCTCAAAATAAATAAATATCACACATTGTACAATTCCACTTATATGAAATGTCCAGAATAGGCAAATCCATCTGGTGAGAAAGTATATCAGTGTTTGTCAGGGGCCTGAGGGAGGCAGAATTGGGAGTGACTGCCAGCGGATATGGGGTTTCTTTTGGTCACGACGAAAATGTTCTGGGATGAGTTGGTGGTGATGGTTGTACAACTTTGTAAATATATTAAAAACCACCGAATTATACACTTAAAAATATATATGGAGGCTGGGTGGCTTGGGCCTGTAATCCCAGCATTCTGGGAGGCCAAGGTGGGAAGATCATTTGAATCCAGGAGTTTCAGACCAGCCTGTAAGACCCTGTCTCTACAAAAAATAAAAAAAAAAATCCCAGCTACTCAGGAGGCTGAGGCAGGAGAATTGCCTGAACCCAGGAGGCGGAGGTTGCGGTGAGCCGAGATCGCGCCATTGCACTCCAGCCTGGGTAACAAGAGCGAAACTCCGTCTCAAAAAAAAAAAAAAAAATATATATGGGCCTGGGCAAAGAAAGTCAAATAGACTAGTAGCTATTGTTTTGATTCCAGATGGTAAATAGAGGGCACACAAATCTAACTTAAGATGTTGAAACACTGTAGTAGATGTAGTCACTTTCTCCCAAAATGTTCATGGAACTTATGGAGAAATAGGAACTACCAAGTTGTCAACCTGAAGAAGGCAGCTTACTTTCTTTGTTCACATGCACTAGGACTAACCTGAGTTTATATGAAAATACAACCACCCACATGCCTTTATTGGTGTGTATTTTTGAGATAATTTTCAAAAAACTTTGATTGATTTGTATTGACGCAGCCACACTGTCTCGTCTAATTTCCCTTGTGGCTGAGAGTGCAGCTGGTCAGACTTAGCTCTACCAAACTCTGTGCCAAGCTGACTTTTCATATAAGGGTGGAAACTCGACTTAGAACTTAATAGCATCATGGTTTAGTTATGTGGCAGGGAGGGGGAGGAAGCCAGTCAAGATGGTAATGAACACTTTTTATAAAGAAAGCCTCTCTTTAACCATATAATACTACTGAGCACATTGTTGTACTTTTAAAAAATGTTCCTTTGCTGCTAAGTCTGCTCTAGGAATATCAATTAATAGATGAAACAAATGAAAGAACCTAGAATCTGAAGTCGGTCTCTTGGGTTCTATTTCTGGATCTTTCATTAACCATCTTAGTTGCTTTAAGAAAATCAGGTGGACTTTCTGGGCCTCAGTTTCTTTTTGTGTAAAATGAGGGGCTTAAAAAAATGATCTTGGAGTCTCCTGATAGGTTTAACGTTGTGATTCTATTTGGGAAATTTCTAAGAGAGAATTGTTTTTTCAGCATTCCCAGCACATTGAATACCACATATGAAATGGACATAGGGCAGAGTGTCATGTTGCATAAGAATGTTTACAGCGAAAAGCAGATTTCACACATGCCGCAAAAGAGGTGCCATGCCATCACTGGCTTCTGCAGAAACCCCATTGGGTTTTTTAATACACTGATCATCTTACTGACATGAACATATGCCAGGAAATATTGCAATCCACATAGAAAGTATTTTATGACCTGGGGAAGTTTTTGGTAATAAAGGAATTAATTATGAAAAGGCAAAACATTATTATGGGAATTGGAAGTACAGACAAATTCTGGGACAAATGATTGTACAGTGTATCAGGTAGTTAAGGTAAAAGTTTAAATTAGGATAATAAGTAGACTTTCGTAATTTTTCTAGGGCTATATTGTTTTAGGAATACATAACCCCTATTTCAGATCTTATGCATTCATCTAGAAGGTTGCAGGTGCCTTCGCTGTACTCTCAGGAAAGACAGGGGGATGGTCAACAGGTTTTTGTTTCTTTTGCTAAATACTTTATTGGATTTTCCTTATTGTATTATTGAGGATGAGGTTTGTTTAAATACAACACAAAACCACAAAATACTGGCAGTTGAATCAAGGTAGAAGTATTTCTCCCTCACATAAGGCAAGTCCAAAAGCAAATGGCTTAGAGTCATACAGTGGCTTCACAGTATCTCCAGGAAACCAGACTACTTCTTCCTGCTCTACCATCTTCCTGGTAACCTCACCGTCTAAAATAGCTGCAGATACTCTAGCCATTACATTCCTATTCCAGGCAGCCGAAAAGAAGATAAAATCACTCACTTTCTTCATTTTAAAGAGACTTGTTTGAAGTACCACACATATCTACTATATCCCATAGGCCAGAACTTGATTACAAAGATTCATTCAAGATGCACCAACAACCTAACTTATAAGAGCTAAAATCATAAAAATTTTAGAAGGAAACATAGGGGCAAATCTTCAGGACCTTGCATTTGGCAATGGATTCTTATATATGACAACAAAAGCATGAGCAACAAAAGAAAAATCAATAAATTGGGCTTTATTGGAATTTAAAATTTTATGCATCAAAGTGTTTAGTAGAATTCACCAGTGACCATATATGGTTCTTTTTTTGTTGGGAAGTTTTGATTATTGATACCACTTCTTTATTATAGCTGTTCAGATTTTCTATTTCTTCTTGAGACTGTTTTGGTAATTTGAATATTTCTGGGAATTTTTACATTTCCTCTAGGATATTCTATTTTTTATTATACATTTGTTTACAGTATTCTCTTATAATCCTTTTTATTTCTATAAGGTCAGTAATGTGCCCACTTTTATTTCTGATTTTACCTATGTGCCCCTTCTCTCTTTTATTCTTTGTTAGTTTAGCTAAAGGTAGGTCACTTTTGTTGATCTTTTCAAATAACTAACTTTTAGTTTTATTGACTATTGTTCTTCTATTCTCTATTTCATTTATCTCTGCCCTAATCTTCTTTATTATTTCTTTCTGTGAGATTTGGATTGATTTTGCTATTTTTTTTCAACTTAAGGTGTGCAGTTATTAATTTGAGATCATCCTTTTTTAATGTAGGTGTTTATTGCTATACATTTTCCCCTTCGCACTGTTTTCACCACATTCCATACAGTATGCTTTTTACTTTTGGTATGTTGTAATTTTGCTTTCATTCATTTCTTAGCATTTTCTGATTTTCCTGGTGATTTCTTCTTTGACCTTTTGGTTGTTTAAAAGCATGGGGCTTGATTTCCATATATTTGTGAATTTTCTAGTTTTTCTTCTGTTATTGATACCTAGCTTTATTCCATTGTAGTCAGAGAAGATATGTATGATTGAAATTTTTAGAAATGTATTGAGACTTGTTTTCTGACCTAACATATCATCTACCCTGAAGAGTGTTCAATGTGCACTGAGAAGAATGTGTATTCTGATGCTGTTGAGTAGAGAATTCTACATATGTCTGGTAAGTCTAGTTGGTTTATCATGTTGTTCAAGTTCTCTATTTTCTTACTGATCTTCTGTGTAGATATTTTGTAGATTATTGAAAGTGGGGTGTTGAAATCCTTAACTATTATTGTAAAGTGGTCTATTTCTCCCTTCAATCCTGTCAATGTTTGCTTTATGTATTTTGGGCACTGCTGTTTGGTGTGTGTGTGTTTATAATTGTTACACATTTTTGATTGACCCATTTTACATTGTTATTTTCATCTCTTGAAATAAAATCTATTTTGTCTGATATTGATACTGAACTCTGTAGCTTTCTGACAATAAATAATATTCAACCATGAATAAATAAACTGTTTGGAAAAAATCGTTTTCTGCCTCAAGGATACATATCTAATAAAACATTATTTTGTGCTTCTTAATGATTTATCAGTCAGTGTCATCTTTTATGTTGCCTTAATGGATTGTGTAAAAATAATACTCATATCAATAACTTAATTTCAAATACATTAGAAAAATACTTTAAATCCTTGCAGTCACAGAACAAAGGTTTTTAAAATTTTAATTTGTTTATCTTTTGAGATAGAGAAATATAATGTGAAAAGCTTTTTTAACTTTTAAGGCAAAAAATTACTATGACATTTTTATTGCATGGGAGATATTTAAAATA